ACGTCCACACACATCCACACACACACACACATACATACACATAGGGCCTACATATAAACACTCACACGCACACCCATCCACACATCCACATACACACACATATGACTTCACACACTCAAACACACACACACACGCACACACACACACACACACACACACACACACACACACACACAAACACACAATGTGCACATGCATACACACACAAACAAAAACACGAACACAAATACAAAAACACAAGACACTCGCACGCGCAAGCAAACCTACATACGTATACAGAAACATACTATTAGCAGTGCATCACAAACAAACTTAGCCGTACAGTCTCGGCATTGAGAAGAATAGGACTGGCGTGGTGCTCCTAGCACCACCTGCTTCGCCATTTAGTCGCCTCGTACGACACGCTGGCATGCTTCGCCATTTAGTCGCCTCGTACGACACGCTGGCACTGCTAGCGTGTCGTACGAGGCGACTAAATGGCGAACCAGATAGTGACTCCTGAAACAGAGTCATCCTGCCTCCAGGTCGCGGGTTGAGTCACGAGGCTAACAACCTCTCTCGTAAAAAGAATCTGTTACAGAAACACATACAAGCAAAAACCATTATCTCTGCTTGGCTGATCGTGGATCTTCTCCAAATGGAGAGTTAATGATGCAAGGCAGTGGAAACCGAAAAGAAGTTGCTGGGCAGAAGCCTCCACCATCATCCAAGTCCAAGTCTCTTCGGATCGGCTCGAGGAACGTTAGGACCCTTTATGAGGCTGGAAAAACTGCACAAGTTCTCCAAGAAATGCACCGATACCAACTCATATACTGGGAATCAGCGAGACCCACTTGAACCAGCCTGCGTAGTACACGAAAAACATGGAGGAGATGCGTGGAAAGGGACAAGAGAGAGATGAAGCTCACTTGGAACGAGCTTGGAAGGATGGCTCAGGACAGAGATAAATGAAAGGAGCTTGTATGTGGCCTATACCCTGCCAAGGGGGAAAGGCACTGATGATGACAAACAAACTCATAAAGAAACAGTATACCTCTACGCGTACACATCGAGGGCTCGACAGAAAACAGATCCTTTTGAAATATCGAGTAAGATAACTAATTTATCAACTTTTACACGCATTCGGACACTATTTATAGTTCGAACCGAATTCTTTAATATTTACCATTCCGTTTTTGGGTGGGAATACAAACGAATCCATAAATATTACAATTTATACTGATCATAATATTGATAAAGCATGTTACAACATGTCCTATATTATTTATGCTTTACAATTATTATTACCCCAGTAGACACATATTGAGAAATCTCAGAAATACCCAGGAAGCATGCATACAGTGCAAGCAGCCGATTCAGCGCTTATAAAAACACTAACAAACTGACAAGAATTGTCGGTGTTTATAGCCAGGTAGGCTTACCCATTCCCACCTGGGACAAGCGAGGAAAATTCACGAAAAGTGCTTTTCCCAAGGGCACGGCGTCGGGACCATGATGGAGATCGAACCGGCGACCTTTCGGTTACAAGTCCGGCAGCTTAACCATCACGGGCCGTGCATCTAAAAAATGCAACGGCTTTTTGAGAACTTGAATAATATTAACTGAAGGGCCAAGTCACGTTTCGCTAAAACTGTAGTTTTTAGTGTGACGACGCCCATATGGGGTGACAGCTCAACCAGTGTTCAAATGAAATGACTGGATGGCATACAGAATTATGACTTTTACAATCTATCCAAACCCGGTAGTGTACGTGCTTAAGTACAACCTTTTTTTTTCCTTCACTTTTCTCGAAATGACTTCAACGTGATTCGCTCCCTTTTCCCGACCTCTTCAATTGATAGAATCCATCAATTTATTTTCATATTTTGACACTGAACATGCACTAATTTGTCTTAATATGTCAGAAAAAAGTTGTTTCCATCAGATCATGCTTGTCTTTGTAGTGTGAAATTTCAGCTAAATCGTCACTACAGTATTCATTTTCCCAAGAGCCATACTTGCAATAGAGATAGAAACAAACACCTTTATTGTTGTAAAAGGCACTCAAGACGGATACAATTCGTCGGCCAGTTGTTAAAGTGTAGGCTAAGCCCATTAATTTTGATTTTAAAATTCATATTGCAGTTTCTTAATCTGTGGTATCGATTGCGCGAAATCAAGATATTATGTTTTGTTTCATTTTTTTCACTCTTGCTTATTGGCTTACAAATAGGATTTACTGGGTTAAAAAAAATATTATCATGAATTCTGTTTCCTTCACATTCATCAATAACCCTTTAAGTTCACCTTCCGCTACACCAGTGTACATGTATTATGTATGATGCTGCAACTTTTTTGAAAAATCTGCGTGAAAAAACAAACGGAGTTACTCTTATTTTCCAAATCTCAAAGCCAATACCATTGGGAAAATAAAATACATATACTTTTTTTTAGAAAGCCCTTTTATTCTTTCAAACCGATGGCCTGTAGATCTATACCATTTATTTATTTACTAATTTATTTATTTTTTGGTGCGTTTTGAAAAAAATTGTTGTTCATCTGTTTCAGTTACAATGCAGCAAAATGCGTCTAATCGAATTACAGTCTGGCAGGAACATGGTGAAATGGGCAGGGCGTGGAAATCTTTCCGTAATGTACGAATTTTGCTATGCACGTGTTCTAATACAAAGAATCATATTGTTATGTATAAGAAAACCTACAGGACCCGAAAATCTGTCCTCTATGTATGTGTTTCGCTATGTCCGAGGTAGACTGTAACCAACATTTCTTGTATCTCTTTGTTTCGAGAACTGGTTTGGAGAAATTCCAAATTGGGCCACGACCGCTTTGAAG